ATGCATTGGACAAAAAGATAGCCTCTTCAACAAATGGTGCTGGGAAAACTGGAAATTCATATGCAACAAAATGAAATTAAACCCCTATCTCTCACCATGCACAAAACTCAACTCAAAGTGAATCAAGGACCTAGGAATTAAACCAGAGACTCTGCATCTATTAGAAGAAAAAGTAGGTCCTAATCTTCATCATGTGGGATTAGGCCCCAAATTCATTAATAAGATTCCTATACTGCAAGAATTAAAACCAAGAATCAATAAATGGGGATGGACTCAAACTAAAAAGTTTCTTCTCATTTTAGCATTTTATAAACATGGCTTCATGGACTTGAAAAATATAAGTCCGGCCTTCTGGACTACTACCTGCTTTGGGAAAACATCATTTACTCAAGTTTTACCTCTTTAGGTACCAACCTTACTTTATAGCCAGCCTAGAGCCTGGGCTCCAAGGCCCCTGAAATCTATGTGTCCTTTCATAGAATCCTTGATTATTGTAGTAGTGATGAAGGTTGGGGAAAAAGACCATCTACCCACATTAAAGGTGGAGATAACATTTGGATTCAAGACTAAACTTTACCTGTCATGGGAGTTTTATTAACCAAACTGGCATTCTAACTAATATTTCTTCAACTGGGTTTGGATCCCCAGAGATCTATAGGAAAGTTTATAAAAGAGGCAGAGGGTAATTATTACTTCCTCTCCAATTGAAATGTTACAGTTGTTTTGAATTATGGTGGAAGGGCAATTCATAGTTGATGCACTGAAGGAAAGAGAAAGCAGGTAGATCCTTGAGATTCAAGATGGCACCACTATATATGTGGCAGAGAGGGGGGTGCTCTCTGTCACTTGTATGTGCTCCTCTACTTTTATCCTGCCTTAACTGGTTGGTTCTTTGTCCTTGAATGATGTTAAAGGCTATATTCTACCCATCTTAAAATGAGTCTTTGCCTTGTACAGCTGCATCAATTATACCACATTTGCTATAATAGGTCATAGATTTATTATCTCCCTTTATTTTTATCTCTCCCCATTTTCATCATGAACCTATACTCTTATTTTCTATCATTTCAGGAAATGGTGAAGTGCACAGATATTTCTCTGCTGCCATCTCATATTGTCTTTTCATTTTCCTAGAATCTTTCAGTTCTTAATTACTTATTGGGGTGGAGAAGACAAAACAGGAAATTTTGAGGAAGAAGGGGGATAATAGGTAGCTGGATGGGGAATCTGCCTTAATAAAGTAGGACTTGGGTAGAAACTTAAGGAATTTTTAGCCATATAGTATTTACATAGTAACTATGAGCCAAAGATAGTAAATTTAATTCTTGAGGGCATGACATGTCTGATTTCTCATTGTGTCCTCAGCTGTTAACTCATTGCTTGCTTTGTTTGGTTTGTTGAATAAATATTTCTAGTCCAACTGTCTCATATTACAGTTGAGAAATTAGTCCAGAGAGAAAGAGGCCATTTCAAGATGTATTGATTTTACCTCAAAATCAAGAGTCAGCTTTTTTCTCCAGCACTGAAATTGTTCCTCAAGTCAATACTAATTGTACTTTAGGATGATGGATAAAGAGTGTTACTATACTCATAGGGTAGTTATACACATACAAATATACTCACAGAGACTGGGACAGCCATAATTCATCTTTTGGTACCAGCTTATAGAAAACTGAGGACAATAAAATAATAAAATAATTAGTCTGGCTGTAGAAATTTGACCCTCACCAATTTTTTTCTTCCCTGTATAAAGCAATTCCGGATCATCATTTCTAGTTAGGCAGGAACACTCTGAGACTTGGAGTGGGTGAGTTTGATGAATCCTGTAGAACACAATAGCACAGACCACCTAGAAGAGATGATACAGATCATCTAAGTAAATGTTCCATACATGTTTTGTGCTATACCATATAGTAGTATCACTAGCCATGTGTGGTTATTGAAACTTAAAGGTAAATAATAAAATAAAAATTTCTGCCTTTTATAATAGGTGCTCAGTAGCATAGCCACATGTGGATATGACTATTGCATTGAACATAATAGCTTTAGAATGGATGTTAAAACTAATACCTGGGGCTGGGGTTGTAACTCAGTAGCAGAGCACTTGCCTAGTACACATGAAACACTGAGTTCAATCCTCAGCACCACATAAAAATAAATAAACAAATAAAATAAAGCTATTGTGTCTATCTTCTTCATTAAAAAACACTAATTTGGGGTAGAGGGTGTCACTAGTATAAGGTCATATAATTAAGTACCAAAGTTTGGAAAATAACTCAGGTTTCTAGACTTCCAATCAAGAGTAAACAGATTTATTTCCACCCCATATGTATTTATTTCTATGTCAGTGTGTATTTGTTAGCATCGTTGAGGCACACTGAGTGTGTGTGACTCTATGTGTGGGCTTTGAAGTGTTTGGG